TAATCAATTATCAATTTTTTAATAATTGAAAAATGGCTCGCTTTTTCATTGCCAAGGAATTATCAGCTGTCCTCACCAGGTACATACATATGAATTATGTTGTTTTTTTTTCCTTTTTTTTGTTCTTATTTTTTTTTTCCAATTTTTATGCGATGTATTTATGTATAAAAAAAACGTAATTAACTTTTAACTTTTATATTTTTATTACTAAATTTGTGATTGAAATTAATTGATGATTAACGGCGGGTTAATTTTCTGATTACAGGAGAGGTTTTGCCACGGCGAGTCAGGGCGTCGGGTCGGGCGCCGCGAGAAACGGAGCCCCGACCGTTATGTTGAAAAAGGGGTCGGACGAACCCCGGAAGATTTCGTGGGTGCCCGACCCGGTTACCGGATACTATCGACCCGAGAACCAGTCCAACGAGATTGGCCCGGCCGAGCTGCGCGAGATGCTCATCAATAACAACAAAACCAGAGGACAGTGAAAACCAATAAATGGGCCTTTTTTGGGTAAGCCCGGCGGCCCATTAACCGAAGAGATCTCAAAGAATCAGTCGAAACGTCGTCGTACTGTGTGATATTTTAGGCTTAGCACTGTAATGGCGCAAAACCTGATTGGATTAAAAAAAATATATATTTATTTAAATTTGAGGATTTATATCGGCGAAATATGAAATTTCTGATCCTATGATCATAGCTTGTTAGGCTTAATAAAATTTAATTTATCAAATATTAATTTGATTATGGGTTGTTGAGCCTAATCAAATATTAAACTATCAAATATTAATTTTATTTTTTGCTTAAATATTTTATTGCTTTGTACATTTTCATTTACTTTTAGTTTCCATACAATAAAAAGTTCCAGTCAAATAATAGTTAACTTTAAACACGGAGAATATTGGGTCAATTGAATATGGTGTGTTTTTATTTTCGTTCTACTGCACATATTTTTTTTAAGGAATTATAGTTGGATAAAAAATATTTTATTTATTATTATTTCTCCACAAACTTGTCTTTTATTTATTTCTAGAGTAATGATGTTCAGTTATAATATTAGACTAGTACAATACCCGTGTATTACACGGGTGCTTGCTAATTTTTTCTTAAAATCTAAAATTAATGAGAAAAAAAGTAGTTGAAAATTTAAATACATTTTACAAAAATATATATTATGATATATTTAATATGACACTTTTTATTTGTGCGACTTATTTGTGTTATATTATAATAATTTTTAACTTACAACATATAACTAAATTAAAAATATATATATTAATTGATAAATAATTTTATTTTTCTAATTAATTTTAATAAATATTATTAATTTTATTATTACAAAAATAAATATAATTTATTTATTTCATATATAGGATGTCAAATCGAAAATCATCAAAAGATGATTAATTTGATATATAATATATATATAAAACCGATAAGAAATACAAAAGTTATCAACTTTTAAAATACATTTACAATTCAATAGTTAGAAACAAATCAATGTTAGGGATATATTAGTCACTTCACTTAGTGCACTATGTAAATTTACAAATACTTAAAGAGTCATTTTAATACAATATTAAAATACCTAAGTTAGATAAATAATATTTATGCAATATTCAAACCTAGATTATTAATTATTAATATATCAATATTATTTGTCCAAACCAAATTATGAAGCATGATTTTTCGCCAAGTAAGATTCTGAAGTATCAGAAGCTAGCCAGGTAGACTCAACGCTTTCGGAAATTATATATAAGGGGATATATTATATTATAAAATCATAAAATGTCGTATCGAAAAGTTTATACCATTTGCCATGTCCATTACGCAAGTGGGCCGTTTAGTAATAATTAGACAACCTTTATTTGTGACCCACACTTATTAGGTCACGCAATAAAATAAAAAAATAAAAAAAATGAATAAATAAATAAAAAGGGAAAAAGTCACAATATGCACAACCCAAGTCACATCGTAACCTCGGATCGCGATCGGTTTTTGTGCACAAATGGGACAATTATTTCATTTTTATTGGATAAAAATATTTTTTTTGTTTAAAAAAGAATAAATTTTTTGTGCACAAATGGGACAGTTGTTTCATTTTTATTAGATAAGTGTATTTTTTTATTTTAAAAAAAATATTAAAATTCGTATTTTTCATTTTTTAGAAATAGAGACCACACTTGATATATTTTAGAACACAATTACAATTTTTAAATAAATTAAAATAAAATAAATATTTACGTTGAGTAGAGTTGAGAATAAAAATAAATTAAGTTGAAAAATTAAGTTGGGTAGATAAAAGAGAGAGAAATAATTTTTAATTATTATATAAAGTTGGGTTGGGTCGAAGATAAAAATAATCTTATTCAGATCTCATAGTGCAAATATTACAGTATATAATTAATTAATTAATTCACAATGTGAATATCCTTTTCTCCCGTACATTTCCAACCTAAAATTGGTTTTGCTTTGCCAGGAAAAATGTAGAGGATTCTATATATGTTCCTTTCAATTGGTTTACCACTTGTACCTCAAGTCAAGCCGTTGCCTAACGAATCAATAGCGCATTGATCAACTAAAAGTCAAACGTACAGTTTGCAAATGCAAGGAACTTGCGATTTTTCTATTACATAAAACATCAACATTATACATTAGTTCATAAGAAATTCTATTATCATGTCGGGATTGTTTCTAGTAGTTTTCGTTTTTAATTGTGGAGTTGATTTTGTGTATTTTTAGTAGTTTTCGTTTTTGTTTGTATAGTTGATTTTGTGTGGTTGCGCGTTTGTTATTCTATCGTTACTAGGTCAGACTCTAGGCAATCTTCGAATTTGCCTCCCAGTCTTTTCAGTCTTTGGTTGTACTTTCAGTTTTTGACTGTTTCTCTTCGTGCGTTTTTATTTATACAGTATCTCTATTGTTTTAGGAAAAAAAAATCTAATTATTTTCACTTCTAAGAAGAAATATATGATTATATTATAAAATATCACATTTTTATTTAAACGTTTTTAAAATACTTCATTCCTTAAGCAGATCATTATTTTAAATGTCTTTTAAAATAGAATATCAGTACATTTGGATATACAAACATAGATTTTTCAAAAAAAAAAACTAGGTCATTATTTATTTTATATTAATACATTTGAATATAAAAATATATATTTATAAAAGAAGCAGGTGTCTAACCCCTCAATTTGGTTCTATTATTGATCCCCCACAAAAAATGTGTCACAAATACACTATAACCACCCAAAAATTTTAAAAAAAATAAATAAAAAGATAAATAAAATGTAAATAAGAATATGAATTTAATTGTATAAGCATGCATTTAGCATTAAGAAACAAGGCTAGTGATAACTATGTTAAAATTATATCTATGTGAACAAAATTCATAATTAGACAACCACATAATCAATAATGCTAATTTGACATAATGTATTTGACATTATGATTAATTGTAATGATGTGTAAATATTTTGAGTTGTTATTTTAAAGGTGTTAATGTTGTATGACAATAAAAAACATTGATGGAATCAAAGAGGTTATAATGCTGCAACGATAAAATAAAACTCGAAGGGCTCTATTTTCACAACAAAAATCTGTGAAGAAAAAAAGCCGATTTAACAGTTCTCATGATTTGTGGGTACCATTTAAACAGAAGTAACTACAGAACATAATAAGTTTTGATGATATTAAGAGAATATCTGATAATGATGATACTATGCCACAGCCAGACATCCCGAAGCCATGTCCTTTGAGGTTCTCTGGTGAAACGAAGTTCCTTGTAGACAGCTTCACAATCCATATGTATCTCAAAATGTTAGAAATTGCACACAAATGTTAAATATGTGTAAAACTAAGGTATTTTTCGGAAAAGAACTTCCGAAATTCACCAAGATTTAATTACCAAAGGCAAAAGAATACGTGCAACTAGAAACTTGAAAGTTGAATTAAGTTAAACTTAAGAGTGTTTAAGCATCTGGTGAATAAATCGTATAAGTGCTTCATTTGTGTAACAACCTAATCAGAAGTCCAACTCATATTTCATTACTTTTAGATTATGCATAATTCAAGAATTCAAAGTTAGCATTTGAAAACAGCGAAGAACCACTCTTTTCAAGCAAAAAGCTTACAAACCGTTTTCCAATTTTTTCCAAAGACTCCCCTAAAACTCATATTGTTCCCTGTAGCCTGTAGGATGCAAACGAATCAACCAGCTCTTGAGTCAGCTCGATCTCGAGCTCAAGTTTTATTGAGCATGGGTCAAACTCGAGTCCACGTGTTATAAGCTCGAGTGCTCGACGAGCCACTTGAGTGTAAGTGTAATTTACCTAAATACCTTAACTCGAGCAAGTCAAGCCACACTCGAGCTAAACTCTAGCCAGACTCTAAGAAAAAATCTTATTTGAATAGGGAAAACTTTTATTGGAAATTCAAGCCCAGAGAAACTCGAGCTATATTGAAATTCCAGTCCATATTTAGCATTTGTATACTCTTTATGACTCAAGCCAAGTCTTGAAAAGGTGAGGTCGAGCTTGAGCTCAAGCAGCAAGAAAAAAAATCGAACTCGGTTCAATAAGCTCAATGCTCTGCTCGACTGGATTCGGCTCATTTGCAGCTCTATTTCCCAATTGATCAACAGTTCAGTACACGAAATAAAACCCTAAAATTGCAACTATGTTTAGCCAGAAACTTACAAGGCACTTTCCCATGGGTCATTCAACAGCTCAAGCAGTGATATTGAGAGAGAGGAAGGTAAGGTAAAAAAAAAAAAAGTTAAAAACCCACTCAATTACCTGCAAAATTCATGCCTCCGCAAGAGGAACAAGTCTCTCGAACCCAAATTTCCCATTCCTTTTGCCCCCGTTCGCACAGTCAAATCCACAACCACATTGCGGGCTCTCGTAGAAATTATCCACCGGAAAATCCGCCGACGCGATGCCGACCGAAAGCTCCATCTGGTCGCCGTACTTAGTGACCTCGATGATGTTCACCCAAAAGAGAAGCACCTTGACTTGAATACCGCTCAGATCCTTGATCTGGTCCACCGAGATCGTGCCGGCGATCGTCGGATTGTACTTCAGGTCGTACCCGTCTATGGTGAAGCTGCAGGAGGAGTTCAGATGCACGGAGAATTTTCCGGTGGCAGAGTCCAGCTCGTAGCTCGTGACGCCCTTGGGGAGGAGGCCCACGGGAAAACCGTACGATTCCAGAGCTTCGTACACCGTCGGTGGGTTCGCGGCGGCGGAGAGCGGCGGCGTGGAGGTGGATATGAGGGCGAGCGAGAGAGCGATGAGGAGGCGCGTGAGTGAACTCATGGTGGAAGTTTGTGGCTTTGGTCGATGTTGCAGAGTGAATTTGTGAGGATGTTCGGTCGAATAAGAGAGAGAGCCTTTGAGGCGAAGAAATTAAAGCGAATATGGTCAAATATTAGCTAATTCTATATCAATGACAACTATCATCCCAGCTTTTTTGTTGAAATTTGTGTTATTTAAAAATTAGAACATAAAAAAGTACATTTTATTTTTTCATATAGTTTTTGGGTTATAATTTTTTGGAGATATTGCAGTTCATTCAATCAGATTTTGTAACCGTTAGATCAATTATCCACGACGGTTACATGATAATCTAACGGTTACAAATCCCGACAAAATAGTTCCGTAACAAGACTGTAGCATTTCCCTATATTTTTATTTAAAATAATACTCATCAACTAAATAACTACTCGTCCTATATTATAGTAATGGTTTTCTAAGTTATGATCTATAGATACATTTATTGAATTAATAAATAATAAATTTATTTTTTTCCAATTAAAGTCAATTAGATAATTTACGTTTTTTATTTATAAATGTCGATTATATTTTTAATACATGTAGTTTTAATATCGTATTTAAAATTAACAAAAGATGATTAATTTTATAAATCACATAAAAATAGACAATAAATAAAAAAAATATTACATTATAAGGATATATTTATTTTAAGTTGATAAATATTTTATAATCTAAAAAATTATAACAAAATTGACATGTGGAAATCTACATTGATTACTCCAAAATATTATTAAAAAGCACTAGACATAACAAACTACGAAACATAAAAAAAAAATGACATACAAAATTACAATTTACGAATCACTAGAAGTACATCTATTAAATATGAAAAGAGTTGATTGTGATCTCGGCTCAACTTGTTCAATAAACGAGTCATGCCCGAGCTAATTTTGTCAACGGGTCAAGCTCATACGAGTTAAAGTCATACTAGATTACAAGCTCGTTTAATAAATAAGCCCAACCAAGCTCAGTTTAGGGCTCGAGCTCGAAGTTAATGAGTCGAGCTCGATTCAGACTCATTTATTCCCATACAGACGTTTACATTTAAGTTAAATCTCTTCATTTAATGCATGAGGTGGAATGAGAAATGAGAAATATATTCGTGATAATTTTGAACAATATTCGCATCGGTGACTCATTTCCCAAGCCCAGGAAACAATTTGTGTCAATTAGTATCTAGGTTGTAGCCCATAAAACAATTCATTTCAACCATTAATGGGCTGGGCATACATAGAGTTCTAGGCCCATAAAAACATCAAATAAATGCCATATAACTCCCTCACCCGGTAACCCTAATTTATCGTCTCCATCACTCCAACAACAGCTGGTGCAGCAGGCCGTCGCCGCCGGAGCCATGGTACGACGCCGTTTCCTAATCCGATCCACAATTTTCAATTTCCCCATTACCGGCCACGGATGACAGTTTTTTCCTCTTGCGTTTTGCTTTAATTGCAGGGTATCGATTTAGTCGCAGGAGGTAAGAGCAAGAAGACCAAGCGCACCGCACCTAAATCTAATGATATCTACCTGAAACTCCTCGTCAAGGTCTCATTTTCTCTCTAAGTCGCGGTGTTTAAGCTCTCCTTTAGACGTTCGAGATCATGAAACAATTGATTTAATGATATGAAATGTTTACTGTGTGGCAGTTGTATCGGTTTCTGGTGAGGAGGACTGGGAGCAGGTTTAATGCGGTGGTTCTGAAGAGGCTGTTCATGAGCAGGATTAACAGGCCCCCGCTGTCTCTCTCACGTCTCGCTGCTCTCATGAAGGGCAAGGTGCGACGATCCTTTGCTTATAAATGATTCTTTGAATAGTCTATGATTTGAGATTTCATATATAACTGATGCCCATCTTTTATCTTATGTGTTTTTCCTTTTTGAGTTGTTGTTTGATGGAAATTAAGATTTCTTAGCTATTATGGACAATGGTTGATGGATAGTTTAGGGGGAAGGAGGCTTGAATTCTTGTGTGTGTGTGTGTGTGTGTGCTTGTGTGTGTATTCTAGTTTGCTTCTCGTGGAATTTCTTGTAATGAAGCAGAAACTGTGAATTTTCCTTTAAAGAGGCCTGAGAGGGATTATATGGTGGTTGATATTGTTGTGTTTTGAAATGTGCATATGATTGTATTGTCTGCAGGAGAATCAAATTGCTGTGTTGGTTGGGACAGTGACTGACGATATTCGTCTTAGTGAAGTCCCTGCTATGAAGGTTACTGCTCTCAGGTTCACTGAGACGGCTCGGGCTAGGATCGAGAAGGCTGGAGGAGAATGCTTGACTTTTGACCAGCTTGCTCTCAGGGCTCCTCTAGGGCAGAACACTGTAATGATCTTTTTCTTTTTGCTATTTTTGTTTCAGTTGTTTATGTTTTTTGGCCTTTATCTGAACTTGTAGCTTTAATGTGTGTTGGGACTTGGGAGGTATAATATGGGTCTCTGTAGACGCTAAATAGTTTTGGTTTGGTTCTTAACTTGATATATTTTTGTCCTGTTGATAGATTACCTGTCTATCCATTCATATGATCTTGTGAGCTATGTGAAGTCATTATCTTGTGCTAATGGGAACTCTTCTATGAATGTTTACTGTGCATTCTTATGAAATATTTTACTTTTTCCCCACGTTCTATTCATATCATACTCTCTCAAAGAAGATAGTTGAGGTCCTGAAATATAGCTGTAATTGTTATTTCGATTCGTTTAGTTGATTAAATCCTTTCACGCTGGTAAATTTGTTTTGGAACTATTGTTTTGTTATGAAATTACTGTGCTTTTCTTTTGCTAAAACTTTTCTTGAACAGGTACTCTTAAGAGGTTCACGCAATGCCCGTGAAGCCGTGAAGCACTTTGGCCCAGCTCCTGGTGTCCCGCATAGTCACACCAAGCCATACGTGCGATCTAAGGGAAGGAAGTTTGAGCGAGCTAGAGGAAGGAGAAATAGCCGTGGTTTCAGAGTTTAAGTTATTTTTAGATTTTATTATGCTGAAGATTGATTCCGTGTTTGTTGAGTTACGATGTGGGATACTTAAATCCCTTAGTAGTGGCCTGGCTTGAATTTTGCTCCATGCCCTTGAACTGTATTGCTCATCGTTTGTTTTGGTTACTTTTACAAGATTTTGGAGAGTTATTCTGTTTACTTGAATCATTTTTAGCTTTTAAAGGTGTTTTTTATTTGAAAACATTGCTTTTATTACTTCATGTGCTTTGGTGCTTTAAATTAATTGTTGGTTTTGTATTAGTGAATTGAGTCTGCATTTGATTGTCTTCAGAACATGTAAAAGAGAAGGGATAAGAAAAGGACTAGCCCTTAGGCTTATGAGTTGCATTTGAAAGTCTTAGTTATAGAATCTTTGACGGGTAGGTCCTTAACTTGATCTTACACCTTGTCACAATTTCATAGAAGAAAGAAATGAGTGTTTCCATAATTAGGGCTGCTCATTCGGTGAATCGAACCGATTGAATTTTCGGTTAACCGAACCGAAATTTATGGTTCGGTTTGGTTTTTAACCAAAAATCTAATGGTCGGTTTGATTTGCATATCGGTTAATTGCAATAAATAGTTAATCTTCTCAATAACTTTCGAATTTTTAATCAAACCAAAAATTCGGTGTTTTATTCAAATACAAAAAAAAA